TGATGGGAATTTTGAGCATTTATTATGTTATTCTTTGCACTTTTCTATGTCTTAATTTTCTCAAAACAAATTTAAAAAGAAGAGAAAGTCTGAATGAAGAGAGTGAATTAACCTCTTATAGTTTTACAGGATCTAAAGCTCTCTGAAGAGCTGTTACCTACACTCGATTATCACAATAACTCTGGGGTAATTATTATCAGCCTTATTTTATATGGAAGAAAAATGAGACCAAGAGTTATGAAGAGGTTTGCCGTGAGGACCAATCAAGTCAGGGCAATGTTTGGCCGAGAATCTGACCTAAGGATCATTTCCCTTTAAGATCAATCTCCTTCAGATAGGAAGGTGAGATAACAGATAAAAAGAAATTAGCCTTGGGGTCTATAGACAAGAGACCTGTAAACTGATGGAGAACAAGTGAGCAAATATTTTAATACAAATAGAAAATATGCTCTAAATGATCTTAGGCAAGTTGCTTCACTTTTTAAAGTTTACTTTTCTCACCTATAAAATAGGGTGATTACATTGTATTGTTTTCGTGAGGATTAAGTTGCATAATTTTTGTAAAAGACACAGCACAATATCTGACACTTAATAGATGTTCAATATTTGTGTTTCCTCTCAGTTTCTTATGTTCCCATATTATATTGAGCCATTACAAATTGCCTTTTTTGTAAGTAGAAATGGTTGAATACAGGCAATTTCATGAGGCTCATGTAATTACTCTATGAACGTAAGCTCTGATACCACTATCGGCTGTCCTGTCTCAAATTTACATGAGGGGAGGGCAGATGAGTTTGAACAAAACAGATAATTGTCTGGGACTTGGGCTTCAGAGTCTATTTGCAGGGATATGAGGGATTTGCGGGTATGTAAGGAAGAGCAGGAGAGTCCAATTGGCGGAAGTAGGTTTACATAATCAGGGTTAGGCAACTGCAAACTAAACAGCTGCTCAATGGCTTTTGGCCCCAAAATATATTGAGCAGCTGGGATATCATTAATGCTTAACAATTCTATCCTTATGATTATATCTTGGCCAATTAGGTTGTCATTGACCACCAAAGGGTATAATATTTTCTGATGTAAATGTCACACGTGTATCTGTGTAGCTCATATTTTATTACATTGATGTGTTGCATAATATACACTAAATATAAATGCATTTGCTTCTTTGGACCACTATGTTAAAAAGTGTAGTTAAAGAGGAATAAAATTAAAATATAAATTGATTTAAAAAAATAATTAGGGGCCGGCCCGGTGG